ACAGAGTCTCATTGAGTCACCAGGCTGGAGTGCAGTGGCGTGATCTCAGTTCACTGTAACCTCCATCTCCTGGGTTTAAGCATTTCTCCCACCTCAGCCTCCTGAGTGGCCAGGACTATGGGCACTGCCGCCACTGTGCTCAGCTAATTTTTGTATTTTTAGTAGAAATGGGGTTTCATCACTTTGGCCTGGCTGGTCTCAAACTCCTGACCTCAACTGATGCACCTGCCTCGGCCTCCCATAGTGCTGGGATTACAGGCATGAGCCACCACGCTGGGTCAACAATCGAAATTTTGAAAAGAGAGAATTGAGCTAAGAATTTAAAGAGCCTACTGAGTTTATGAATCTCATACTGGAAGGATTTGTGATTTATCTCAGTCTCCCTTCTCTCTGACAAGAAACGGTATAAGTAGAACCATCCAGAGACCTAACTCTTAATTTACTACTGGGATTATATAGGTTACTTTCTTTTCAGTACAAGCTCATTTTCTAACTGAGGTAAATATGCTTATACTAGTCCTCAACTCACTCAGGTTTTTAGGTTGTCAAATCAGAGAAAGGCACACTTTTATGAATTTTTTCTTCCAATCAAGCTCCTGAAAAGCTGCTAGCAAAAAGGAACTCAAGATTCAGGTGTTTACCTCTTGCCCTCTCCTTTAAACCTTTAGCTGGCCAATAGACTCTGAATGGGAAAATATGAAACTTCTCAGACAGGAGCAGAGCCAGCTTACGGGGTGGAGTAGAAAAGCTCTGGACCTGCAATCAGAAGTTCAGGCTGACCCAACACTCACCAAGTGTGTGGCGTGGGGCAGGTGCTGCAACTCTCTGACCCTCAGTGTGCCCATTAGGATGTCAGGGGTCATTTCGCAGGTTGTTGCAGAAGATAGACACACTCCCTAGATATTGACCATGAATGAGGAGCATGTGTGTGTGACCCATGGCAAATCTTTGAGCCTCTCTGCCTCTCATATTCTGTTAGCCCAGCAAAGCTCTGTGATTAACTTTGTCCCAGTCTTGGCCTGGCCTTTGGAAATCTCATGTTGTGAAGGTGATGTATTCCTTATAAGCAAGAACATTGTGATAAAAGGTTATATAATAATTCATTTCCCTTTGAAACAGGGTCCCCAGTCATGGCTAAGGGTACACGTATGTGATTTGAGTTACTCCATGAACTCTAGTCCATAACAATTAAACAAGCACAAACAAGCACACTCCACTCTCTGTGTGAACTTCACTCTCCCTTTTATTCTGCTGAATCATGCTATTTCCATTTCCAGTGAGAGGAAAGTGCAATGTGCAAAGTCTCTAATTACAAGATAGATGAGTTAAGTATGCTTCAAAGATGATTTACATTCTAAAAGTTAGACTACTGAGTTCCACATTTTAAAATGTAGATATTTAAGAGATTTCGATGTCTAAATTCGAGTCCTACACACTTTTTAAGAGATACATCTGTTGGTAAAGGCAAGTATATTTTTGTACCTATATACCAACCTCGACAACCACAAAGTATTGCAGGAAGAACCTTAATATTTTTTAACAGAGCCAGGGGTTTGGAGAGAAAATGAACTGTTCCTAAGTCCTGGCACTGGCATGTGTGGAACATTCCCGTGTGAGACCCCCAGAAGACGTGGGTCTCACTATATGGTGAGTTTGATCTCAAACACAGTTTCCTACTGGAGGCAGTTAAGCTATCGGAAAGAAGGAACTGAAAGATGACTGATTAGTTTCTAATATCAACCACGATATTGTTTGGGCTTAAACTATGCGGTGCTGCTAGACCGAGTGACTCCCTACCAGCAACCAGTTTCTGCTTTTAATCTTTATGACTTTTTCTTTCAGTATAGCCTTAACCTTTTCTTTACTTGCATGACTGCCTTGTACCCTAGATAATGGTTTAGCTGTAGGGATATTTGCAAAGCAAATGCCACCTGACTCAGAGACTCCTGAATGGGGGAGTTGAGATAAGTTGAGTCAGGAGCGGACAAAGGAGAAGCTAGATAAAAGACATTCTGATGAGCAAAACCAGAAAACCTTTTCACATTTGAGTTCTAAAACAGGATCTTTTCTATTTATCGCAGGTCTTTAGATAATAACTCTCAATCAACTGCCAATCAGAAAATATTTAAATCTACACATAACCTAGAAGCCCACACCTCCAGTTGTCATGCCTTTCTGTGTATATATATTTCAATGTACACCTGTATATATTTGATTGATGTCTCATGTCTCCCTAAAATTCAGCTATATCCCAACCACCTTGAGCACACGTCCTCAGAATCTCCTGAGGGCTGTATCATGGGCCATTAGTCACTCATATTTGGCTTAGAATAAATCTCTTCAAATATTTTACAGCCTTTCACTCTTTTCACTAACACTGGTAATTATTGATTCCATGTGATGAACACAAGAAAGGTCACTATACGTTTGTGTTATTTATATACATGTTAGAAATTTATACAATAAGAGGACGAAAAGGCATAATATTAGAAAGTGAATGTAAAGTGGAAATGCATACTCACCTGTTAAAGACTCAGTATATTAATTCAATGATTATCTTGTTGTGTACCTACTAAGTGCCAGATTCCGTGTGAGGTTCTGAGGGTAGGCAGTGAACAAGACAGTTCCTGCCCTTGAGTAGCGTACATATCTATAAGAATGGAGACAAGTAAACAGGGGATTCAAATCAGGAGCTTCTAGGAGCACACCCAGCATTCCCCAGTGTTACTGGGCCATCCTCCCGGTGTCTGAGAGGAAATGCTGGGAGGTGTCTGTGGAACTCCACTGACTGCTGCCCTCTAGAGGTGTCAATGAGAAAAACACTTCCCAGTGCTGACCAGAGCCCCTTTGTCACTGCCTGAGGGTTTTCCTGGGGAGTGAGTCATGGACAAACTCAGGAGATCTTGTCCCTTGGATGGCAGCAGAAAAGGAGGGTTTCAGGTGAGGTGGCAGCCTGTGAAGGGAACTTCCAGTGAGCCCCTTCAACCTCACGGCGCCGTGTGGGCTGCACTTTTTCCATTGCTTCATGAGGGCTTGGGACTTTAGCCTTACCCTTTTTCAATCCTGTGCAGAAACAAGCACACAAGAATTCAAATACTGCCATTCCAGGTTGTTGTTGTTGTTTACAAATGAATACCCTGTTTCACTGTCACTCAGACGTCAGCTCTGCAGCTCAGGAATGTGTTCAGAGCCTGGGAAGGAAGGGTTCAGCAGGAGGGAGGGAGGGGCCAGGCTGGGAGCAACCCAGGACGCTGCTCTCCATCCAGCCTGACTGAAGGCAGGGGCAGGGCTGACTGCACACCTTGCTGAGGCTTCTGGGGTCCCAGTGCCCTAAGGCTGATGATCACAACCCAGTCCTCAGCCTCACAAGCACATCCCACTTGCCAGCCCCACCTCACCTCAGCCACCCTCCTGCCAGGACCACCCACTGTTCCTTAGGTTTGTGCTGAACTGGATGCTGTATTAATTGCTGGCACACCCTCCCCGCCACCCATGATCTCTAGATCCTGGTCCTGTGTGATCACAGATCCGCAACAAACTGTTTTATGGAGCAAGCTAGACACTCCCAAATCCCTGGTCCTTCACCATAAAGAACTCCATTAAAGTATAATTCGCCGCTGCAAACACCACTACTATTTACTACTTGATGTATGTGGGTCAGGTCCTGTATGATGCATTTTGAAAACATTACAATATTCTGTTAAGAAAATATTCCATGCTCATTTTGCAGATGAGGGAGTTAAGGCTTAAAGATGTCAAATGATGATTTCTAGATCACACAGCTATGATGAGGCAGAGTCGAGATTGGAATCAGATCGTATCAACAATGAAATCCTGAAAATCTTTGTAAGTGTCTGCTTTAATTTTTATTTTTATAGATTCTGCCTATTAAGTCAACTGCATCATTATGTAATAACTGATTTTCATATTTATATTAAATACCCGAGTTTCTGATCATTTTTTGACAATATTGCTGGCTGCCATTCTAACCAAAGTGACTACTCCCAGGATAGGTGTAATTTATTTCAAAGTTTAAATTACTGGATATAGGTGAACAAGAGAGAGTGTATTTTCAGTGATCTTAGATTGATTTAAGGTTTTTGAAAAGGATTCTATGAAATAGCACCCATCTCTCAGAATCCCAAAATGTATATTTAAATAGCACTTTATTATATACCTACTACTTTTCCAAGTGCTTTGCATGACTTTGTAATTTAATTTTCATACCAATCTTTAACAAAAGTATCATAAGTACACCCATTTCATAGGTTAGGATACTGAGACACAGACAGACTCAACAATGGGTCCAAAATCAAGAAGCCAGGAAATGAAAATAGTGATATACCCACACAACTATATCACAAACCAGAGATTTTCATTAAAAATAACATTAGTGTGGGGACCCTAGTTCCTTCCTCAAATTGAGAATTCTACTCTATTGTGTCCCATTTACTCTAGGAGAGGAAATTATCATTGCAAGAGTTAGAGCTGTGCAATACCAGGACCTGTCTCGTGCTTAGTGTAGCTCCTAAGAAGTGAGGTGATATAAATTACAGCAGAGGCTCCTTCATGGCAGAATCTTTGATGGTCATTAGCCCATGGCATACCCTACACTGGAGACACAAAGGTTGTGGTCTGATCTCACCTGGAGACACATGCTTTCCTAAAATATGAAAACACCATAACCAGAAGAACTGCCTGATCTCTTAACGCCAGTGAGGTCCCCTCTCATATCATGAGCTAATCATGGACATGGGAGAAATCAGGTTGGAAACGAAGTGAACTAAAGATTGAGCACCTATGTACTGTGACCCATGCCTTCTTCTTGATGAATCTAATCTACATTTCCAAATTGCCATGACCACACCTCTGTGTGCTCTACCAAACTCAGAAATCTTATATTCTCCAAATTATGTGTCAGACAGGAACCATTCAAGGTTAAAAGTCTATAATGCTATGGAATGACCTATCAGGAGGCCATTTACTGATTCTGCTTTTGGTTTGAAGAGAAATTTCTAGACTCTGCAGAAGATTTAGAAAAGTTAAGAAATTGTAAGATCAAGTCTCGAAGTGTCTCTAATGAAGGTATCTAGTAGAAGGCAAACTTGAAGGTTTTAACCCCAGGCACATAGACTATGTGTGTGAATGGTGGTAGCTGGGATCGGGGAGGGGAAAAGGTAGTTAAAATAGAAAGAATGGGGCTCCTTGAGCTGGTCTGTTCATTCTCTCCAGGCCAAAAGGGCCAGATCTCTTAGAGAGTTTGCTAGAGGAACCATCTCCAGCGCCCTGAGAATGGCCTCTCCTTGCTTTCATGCTTTCGACACTGAGAATGAGCTGTGGTCGGTTCAGGATCCCACACAGCCCTCCCCATCCAAGGACATGCAAGGACATGCATTAGAGGAAAGGAGTTAAAATAAGCCTATCTTGAATTAATTTCTCTTATGAATTTGGCAAGGTATTATTCTCACAACACTGTAGGCTTAGATAATGAGATGGTGTTGAATTGGTTGGAAGTCCAGGTCAGAGGGTGAGGCGCGACGTGAGTCAGGGGAGCAGCAACAGGGTCAGGAACACAGAACCACCCTACACACACTGTCCAATGGGGATATTGAAGAGTGCACAAAGGCCTACATAGAAACTTCTCTCAGAACTGTCTTTAATGTCTTCACACCATAAGACTTAACTTTGTGCAATTCCCAAGTTAAATGGCATCTGGCTGGTGGGCCTGCAGGAACCTCCCCCAACTTCTTCCTAAAATATCCATAAAGATATATCAACACAAAAAATACGAGGGACCTTTCATGTATCTGGATGAGGAATAAAAACATAAAATCACAGGCTATAAGGTAAGAGGAAGCTTGATAAGAAAAAGAAGTACTACAGGAAGCTAAAAACAAATTTCTATTTCCTCTGGGAGGTTATACCAGGCAATAATTTCTTTTCTATGTTATAAATTTAGTCATTTCAGCAAACATTTTTTCATGCTAAAAGACTGGGATTCATAGACATCCCACTCTCTTTTTTCCCTCTTCTTTCTAAAGATGGGTATTTGATGTTCCAGCAAGTGCCAATGGTTGAGATTGACGAGATGAAGCTGGTGCAGACCAGAGCCATTCTCAACTACATTGCCAGCAAATACGACCTCTATGGGAAAGACATAAAGGAGAGAGCCCTGTACGGTATGTTTTCTGTTTTTCCATCAACAGAGAGCACAGAGTGATTTAGGTGCTTCCTTGAGTGGGCGGGACCATGGCAGGGGCATCATGACCAGCAGCAGGCTGGGCCTTGGGTGTGTACGCTGAGGTGCCATACTGCAGAGTCCCATGGAGATGAGGGAACAGTGAACATGGGGTGGGTTCAGGCAAATGTGATTCTAGAATAGGATGCAGTCCATGGATATAGCACCCTGACAGAGGTTTCCAAACACTGATGGACCATGGACTGAGGAGGATGGGAATCATGATTCCAGGTGCTCAGTCCTTCAGAGGCTGGACTCTAGCCAGCAGTTTGGACAAGGCATAGAATTTTTGAGAGTCTGTAGATGAAGGCCTGGGGAGGGAAGGCCACAAAGGGGCTGAATCTCAGGTCCCAGTAATTCTAAGAATGATGACCAGGAACCTGTGTTACCAACTAATTACATGAAATGATCAACTTGATAATGGTTAGCAGAGGCTGGTGCCCAAGGTACCAGGCTTACCTAAAGTGAAGCATTTGGTGATAGACCTAAGCAGCCAGACTGATTCTGCACCAGCAAAGCTGGGAGGAGTCTCCTCCCTGTTGGCCATGCCTTGAAAAGTTCAACGTAGAGTTCCCAATGACCTAGCAATTCCTCTACCAGATCTACCTCCAGGAGAAAAGGAAACACATCCTCACTAATCCGTGTACAGAAACATTCATAGGAGAATTATTCATACCCAAATGTCCACCCATGGATCAACAGAGGAACAAGATGTGCCATAACAGACAGTGGAATATTCTTGGGCTATGAAAAGTGATGAAGTACTGATGAGACAACATGGGTGAGCCTTGAAAACATGTTTCGTAAAAGAAGCCAGACACCAAAGGCTCCAAGTAACATGATTTCTTTTGTATAAACTATACAGACCAGTCAAATCCAGCAAGTAAATCAGTTGTTCTGAGGGGCTGGATGGAGAGAGCTAAGGGTTTGGCAGCTAAGGCTGCCAAAGAATGATACTTTCCCAGGGGATTAGAAAATAATTGGGAGAGCTGCTTTTTTTTTTTTTTTAACTAGCTTGCTTAAAAGTATATATCTTTACAGATAGCTTTTAGAGATACGCCTCATTTCCTATTTATTTATTATTTTTAATTTTTTTTAGAACTTCTAATATTGGACACAAAAATGAGCCTGAGATGTGCAGTATGATGAGAAAGGGAGACAGGAATGTCTGAGATGGCTGTTCCAGGGACTCTGCCTTGGGATTACTTAAATAGCAGGTCTTTAGCCATGTGAATCATGCTAAGCTCACGCATAGAGCAAACCACAGCGAAGACAGCAAACCCTATTTGCAGCAACAGTGGTTACCTGCAGTGATTCCACTTATTTGTCTCATGAGTGTGACTCTAGACAGGTCACCGATGCTGATGTTCTCTGTACCTGTATTTAGTCATGTGTAGGACAAACGTTTTGGATATATATATCTACCCCAGTAGCATGTTCTGAGAAATAAAGGTAATATAAATATATAAACCATAGCATGACTGGCACATAAAAAGCACCCACTGGAGCCGAATGACTTTGCCACGATCTGATGCTCTTCTGTCTCAGGTGTTTAAACCATAAAATCTAAGGCAAAAGGTATTTTGGCAGTTTCGGTTCTTTTTGTCTTTCAGGATGCATGTAGAAGGACATATGTAGAAGGTATGGCAGGTTTGAGTGAAAAGGTTCTTCGTTATGCATTACATCTACCTGAGGAAAAAGATGCAAAGCTTGCCTTGATCAAAGAGAGAACAAGAAGTCGTTATTTTCCTGTCTTTGAAATGGTACCTGGGAGCATCTGTATACCTGAACACATGGAGCTTCTTGGAGGGTGGGACATCCGTGCAAGGCACGGAAGCTCCATGCCCCTTCCCCATATCTCGTCCTAGGCATGTCTTTATCTTTTCTGTGGCTACATGATTTGAGCCTCCAAACCACAAAAGAGAATTTTTCACCCAGCTATGTGGATTACCACCTAACAAGAATAAAGAAAACCTAAAGTCGCAGTCACTACTCTGCCCCAAGTGGAAACTGTAATATTCTGTCTGGATCACTGCCAGGTTCAAAGAACAAGAACAAAAATCAAGAGAGAACTTCATTTAGTTTTAGGGATGACCCAGAGCAAACTTTGTACACATGGCCAGAGGTCCAGTGAGAACCTCAGACTCAGTGCACTGTGAGGCTGTCTTGAAAAACAGGCTTCTGGGCCTATGCCTAGGGGCTGCTTCTTTTAGGACAAACAACACTTCTCCATATGACACAAAGCAGTACCACAAAAGACCGAAAAGAAACAAACAGGCAAAAAAGACCTGGTTCTCTTAAGGATGCTAAGCAGGTGGGAATCAATACAAAACCAAGGTCCAAACTGAGAATAAAAGTGAAAGAGCTCAATGCAAAGAGGAAAGAGTTCAGCCACAGGCACAAGGTGTCTTTGTGGGTACTGCCCCTGGTTGACGGCTGGGGTCCATGGCAATGGGCAACAGAGACCAGGTCTTGCTGGAACCTCCAGAAAAATTGTGAAAGTGAATGAAGACAACTCAAATGAGAATAAGCAAAAGGTGTTTATTTAGAGCCTGCTACAGTAAGGAAGTCAGCCACCATCACTTGCAATTGCCAGAGATTCAGAGGCAGGCTGGAAAGTCTGAGAGATTTATGGTGGAGAAACTCTGACTGCAGGTTGTTCGCATGAAGATACTGTAAGCTGGCTGACTAGAAGCACTGATTTCTACGTGATTGGTCAGAGATCCATATGTTGCTTTCTGTGGTTGGTCATAAATTGAAAGTGGAGGAAAAAATTAGGGAAGCTGGCAGCTATTGACCAAATGCTGGTGTGTTTGACTGACTGTTGTAAAGGTCATGATAGAAGCTGTTTAGTCTTTAAGTACTAAGAGTTTAGAGGGTTTCTTAGCAGTTTGGCTGCTATAACAAAAGTCCTATAGACTGGGTAGCTTGAAGAACAGATGCTTATGTCTCACAGCTTTGTAGGCTGGGAAGTACAAGATCAATGTGCCAGCAGATTCAGTATCCGGGGAGCATCTGTTCCTTGGTTAATAGACAGCCAATCTCCGGCTGTGTCCTCACATGGCAAACAAGCCAAGGGAGCTCTCTAAGGTTCCTTTTATAAGGGGACAAATGTCATTCATGAGCACTCCTATGATTTAATCATCTCCTGAAGGCCCCACCTACTAATTGCATCATATTGGGGGTCAGAATCTCAACATATGAATTTTGGGGAAACATAAACATTCAGTCCATGACATAAGGCAACAGAAAAATGGTGCCTGTGCATTTGTGGGGCATTGACCTTCACTTCAAAAAGCCTTCCTTGATGGTAACGGAGCATCTGACTCTCAAGACATGGTGTAAACATAGACTATGAGGAAGAATTTCACTGGTTCTACCAGAGTCCCATGATACGTGAATCTGAACTATGTATTTTCTTTCTTTCTTTCTTTCTTTTTTTTTTTTTTTTGAGACAGAGTCTTGTTCTGTCGCCAGGTTGGAGTGCAGTGGTGCAATCTCAGCTCACTGCAACCTCTGACTCCCTGGTTAAAGCAATTCTCCTGCCTCAGCCTCCCAAGTAGCTGAGACTACAGGTGTGCGACACCATACCGAGATAATTTTTATATTTTTAGTAGAGACGGGGTTTCACCATGTTGGCCAGGATTGTCTCTATCTCTTGACCTCGTGATCCATCCGCCTCGGCCTCCCAAAGTGCTGCGATTACAGGCATGAACCACTGTGCCAGGCTGAACTATGTATGTTACAATACAGCATTTGATGCTATCCCTGGGCTCCGGCTCCTGCAGTCATACATTGTGTTCCTCTCTGCACAGCTTTCCCAACAACCTGCCCCAACCCTGTATTCCTCAGTGGGAAAGAGTGGCCCCATGACTCTTTTTTGCCATGATACATGAATTTGAATTACGCATGCTACAATATAGCATTCGATGAGGGATAAACACATGATGTTGCATTTTCTTTGTGTATCAAATAATTATTTATACATATATATGTATACACCGCCTGAAAGGGTATTTGCCAAAATATTACCTTAAATCAGTGGTCTTATATGTTTTCTCACTGTATTATGTATGATGTGAATGTGCTGAAATATTTTGCTATCACATAGCACTAAAAAATTTTATTATGAAACATTTCATATAGTCGCAATAGTTGAAAGAAATGTTTCATGAGCGTGTAAACACCAACCAGCTAGAGAGAAAACTAACACCTCGGCCTCTGTGCTTTACCACGTGTCAGTCACTCCACTCCTGTCTCCCTCAGTTGAACACATTATTATTATTATTATTATTATTATTTTGTATTTCAAAGTAAGTTGCAGACATCAGTACAGTTCACCCTGCACACAGTGGCATGCAGATTATAACACAGTGAAGCCAGTAAGTGCCAATGTTACAAGAAAGAGGATGAATTCTGGGTTTACTTTAGATCGCAGAGCAGGAAATAGGAGAGCAGGTAAGGAGAAATGAGGACTCTGAAGTAGTCTACTCCTGGGAGAAGAGTGTTGTCATGAAGGTGGAGTCGCTGCCCAAGAGAGACTGGAGAGAGATAACAGAGTGTAGAATCACACCTTGAATGACAGGACTGCGTGCTGTAGGGTCTGGGGAAGACAGAACATGTTGTAGCAGGTGCCAATCCTCTGATCCATGTGGAATGATGCAAGCTGGGTGGGTGGTGTGGACGCTGCAGTGATGTGGAATGAGAAGAGAAAATGGGAGCCTGGGCTCCAACTGAGGAATTAGCAGAGCTACACTTCTTACTTTTTCAATGAGTCAGGGAATGCAGAGAAAGATCCCTGCACCCATGCAGTGAGGCAGCAGAAATGGGAAAGTCCGACCGGAGAAACTCAAGGAGAAGCGGAAGCCCCAGCCTGACCGCACATGCGTTCCTGATCTGAGTCCTCAGATTCTCCAGGTGTAAAGAGCCATGGCCAAGATTACCTTGTTGGCAACAAGCTGAGTGGGGTTGACGTTCACCTGGTGAAACTTCTCAACCACGAATAAAAGCTTGACTCCAGCCCTGTCTCCGGCTTCCCTCTGCTGAAGGTGACCCATTTCACAGCCCTCAGAGAGGCAGCCCCAAAGCTCCCGTCTTGGGATCTAGTATCTGGGCCCGGGACTGGCCAGGCCTTCTCCAGGCCTGCAGTGCTCCCAGGTCTGCAAAGTGAGCTTCCAGGCCCTAATTCCTCAGAATCAGAAGATTCTTGTTATATCAATGAAATGTGTGGTGCTACCTCATGAAGAGTATTTTGCCTTTGATCATGGAAAGCCCCCACGGCCCAGCGTCTCTCCCCATCCCTCTATTCCCCTGTGGTTTATGTTCCTGAGTTCTCTGTGATGCCCTTTATTCCAGATATGCCCTTGTCTTCCTGTAGCGAGTCTGTCTGAGCAGGGCCCTTTCCATCTGGTTTCCTCCCCAGGCTCCGGCTCCTGCTGTCAGAAGTTGTGTTCCTCTCTGCACAGCTCTCCCAAAACACTGCCCCAACCCTGTATCCCTCACTGGTAAAGAGTGTCCTCATGACTCTTTTGCCATGATATATGAATTTGAATTATGTATGCTACAATGTAGCATTTGATTAGGGATAAAGAAAGGTTTGCCTTTAACATTTTCTATTTTCATTTCTAATTCAATTTTCCCATATTTTCACTTCCCCTGCTTAGAGACCGATCTGTGCTGATATCTCACAGGCACATGGTTTTTTCCTCTCTTTTACAAAAGCCACAAATCTACAGGATAAATGTGTAAGGAAGAGAGTAGAGAGACTGAACTGAATAAAGTCTAAAATACATCTTTGGGAAAACACTAATGAGTTTCATGTTCTTCCTCTTATATTCTTTCTCTTATCTTTTTTCTCTTCTTTCTGTTACATTCCTCTTGTCTCTTATTTCTTGCTCAGAGTCTGTTGCTGCCTTCATACTGGTGCTAAATGAGGGGCCTCGCTTGGTCTTTGTGTAGGAGGGGCTCAGATTCCCTGGGTGGTATTAGTGGTGGTGTCAGTCCTTGGCTTCACTCTGAGGCTGTGCTTTGTACATTGCAGGCCCTGAAACCAGAATCAGCAACCTGCCCATGGTGAAGAAGTTTCTGCAGCCTGGCAGCCAGAGGAAGCCTCCCACAAATGTGAAACTTTTAGAAGAAGCAGGGGAGATTTTCAAGATTTGGTAAAGCAGCCATGGAGGCCAGGAACATTCAAGACCAATATTCTAACATTTTGCAGCAATGAAGTGCTTTACCTAAATGTTAATTGTAGCTTTTGTGATGTTAAGCCCATTTTTTTAATTGGTGGAAATAGTTATACTAGTCCTCAGTTTGCTCTGATTTTTAGGTTGTCAAAGTAGAGAAAGGCACACTTCTATTATTTTTTTCTTCCAAGCAAGCCCCTGAAAAGTTGCTAACAGAAAGAACTCAGGAATTAGATGGGACCCTCTCACCCTCATTTTCCAACATTTAGTTGGCTAATGGACTCTGAATAGAAAAATGTAAAACCGCTCAGACAGGAGCAGAGCCGGCTTACAGGCTTGAGTGCAAAAGCTCTGGACCTGCGATCAGAAGGAGTTCAGGTGGACCCAGCACTCACCAAGTGTGCAGCATGAGACAGGTGCTGCAGCTCTCTGAACCTCAGTGTGCCCATCTTTAATCTGGATATTAGGAGCCATTTCCCAGGGTTATTGCAGAAAGTCGACACACTGTCTAGATACTGACCACGAATGAGCAGCATGTGTGTTTGACCTGTGGCAAATCCTTGATCTCCCTGGTTCTCATTTTCGGTTGACCCAACAAAGCTCAACAGTAACCTTTGCCCCCAGTCTTAGCCTGACCTTTGGAAACCTCATATTGAGAAGGTGATATGTTATGTATCAGCAGGAGTGTTGTGATAAAATTTTATATCAGATAAAAATTTATTTCCTTTTGAAATACTATCCTCAATCAATGGCTAAAGGAGCTTAGTTTCGGGACTGGAATTACGACACTATGGACTCTAGTCCACAGCAGTTAATCAAGCGCACCCCACACTTTGTGAACTCACTCTCCCTTTCATTCTGCAGAATTATGCTTTCCCAAGATGGAAAAGTACAATGCCAAAATTCCTAATTACAAAACAGGTGAGTTGATTCAGTATGATTGCAAAGAATTCTTTACTCTGGGACGCAGAGAGATTCAACAATGTGTCCAAAGTCAAGAAGCCAACATGTGAAAACAGTGATATTAACCCACAGAGCCATATCACAAACCAGAGATTTTCATTGCAAATAATGTTACTGTGGGGACTTTAATTCCTTCCTCAAATTGAGAATTCTGTTCTTTCGTGTCCCATATACTCCTGGAGGGGAAATTATAATTGCAACAGCTATGATCTATTTCACCCTTCGCAGGGCTCCTAAAAACTGGGCTTTTTACATCAGTAAATTACAGTAGAGGCCCCGTGGTGGCAGAATCTTTGGTGGCCATTGGCCCATGGCATACTCCATGCTGGGGACACAAAGGTTGTGATCTGATCTCACCCAGAGACACATGCTTTTTTAAGATATGACAACAGCATAACTAGAACTGCCTGATCCCTTAACTCCAGTGACATCCCCTCTCAAAGCATGACCTAATCATGGACATGGGAGAGATCAAAGTTTAAGTGAAATGAACTAGAAGAATGCACAACTATGTGCTGTGATCCATGCAAATTTCATGATTTCTTTTGTATGAACCATCCAGACCATTTGAATCTAGAAAGGAAATCAGTAGTTGACAGCGGCTGGAGAAAGGTGGCAATGGGGAATGGCTGCCAAAGCATGTGCCACTGCTTTCCCAGGCAATAAAACTGTTTTGGACTTAGTGATCATATTTGCAGAATTCTGTATCTGTCCTAAACATTACTGATTAATATTCTATAAAGGGGTGGCAATTATGATATGTGAATACATGTCAATAAATCTATTATTTTAAAAGTATTCACCAGGCACAATGGCTCACACCTGTAATCCCAGCACTTTGGGAGGCTGAGGCAGGTAGATCACCTGAGGTCAGGAGTTCAAGACCCACCTGGCCAATATGGCAAAACCCCATCACTATTAAAAATACAAAATTTAGCCAGGTGTGGTGGCGGGTACCTGTAATCCCAACTACTTGGAAGGCTGAGGCAGGAGAATCACCTGAATCTGGGAGGCAGAGGTTGCAGTGAGCTAAGATCGCACCACTGCACTCCAGCGTGGACAATACAGCAAGACTCCATCTCAAAGAAAAATAAAATATAAAAAACAAAAATAAAAGTTTTGTAGGAAACAGTTTAAAATGAGAAGGAAGATGTCCTATGGTATGCACTGGCTTTAACCACATGAATAATTTTACCATGTTCACCAATGTTACCATGTAAACAATTTTCCCATGTTACCATGGGGGTATTAGGTAAGGTCTTGAAATATACTTATAACTAGAATTGCCCAACGTCATGTGGAGAAGGTTATGAAACACTGTTTTATGGGAAGTAATTGGGAGAACTTTTTTTTTTGAAGGTTATGAAACAGTGTTTTATGGGAAATAATTGGGAAAACTTTTTTTATTGAAAATTACTAGCTTGCTTGAAATAATATATTTTTCAGGATATCTTTTTAAAATATGCCTTATTTCCTAGTTTTTCACTTATTTATTTTTATTTTTTACTTTTTTTTTAGAACTTATAATATCGGGCATAAAAATGAGCCTAGGATGTGTGGTAGGATGAGAGAGGAAAACAGACACGTTTGAGATGGCGGTGCTGGGGAGCCTGCCTTGGGATTATGTAAATGGCAGGTCTTTAGCTATATGAATCATACTAAGCTTATGTATAGAACAAACAACAGCAGAGAGGGCAAACCCTGTTTGTAGCATAAGTGGTTACCTGCAGTGATTCCAGTAATTTCTCTCACGACTGTGTCTCTGGACAGGTCATCAGTGTTTCTTGTACCGGTATTTGGTCATATGTATAACAAACCTTTTAGATATGCATCCACCACAGTAGAGTGTTCTGAGAAATAAATGTTAATCTATGTGTAAAAATCATAGCCTAACAACTGGCATATAAAAGGCACTCAATGGAGCCGAATTACATTGCTGTCACCTGATGCTCTATTGTCTCGGGTGTTTAAACCATGAAATCTAAGGCAGAAGGCACTTAGCAGTTTGGTTATTTTTGTCTTACAGGATCGACATGTATGTAGAAGGTAGGGCAGGTTTGAGTGAAAAGGTTCATTACTCATTGCGTCCACCTGAGGATAAAGAGACAATGCTTGCCCCGATCAAAGACGGAACAACAAGCCGTTATTTTCCTGCCTTTGAAACAGTACTCGGGAGCTTCTGGATAGCTGAACACGTAGAGCTTCTTGGAGAGTGTCGTGTCCAGGGAAGGCGTGGAAGCGCCTTCCATGTCCCCATATCTCACTCTAGGCATTTTTCCCACTTTTTATTGGCTGCATGATTTGAGCCTCAAAACTACAATAGGGAATTATTCAGTCAGCTATACGGATTACTACCTAACAGGGATAAAGTAAACCTAAGGTCACAGTCACTACTCTGCCCCGAGTGGAAGCTGTGATCTGGATCACTGTTCGGATCACTGCCGAGTTCGCAGAACAACAAGAACCAAAAATTAAGAGAGCACCTCATCGGTTTTAGGCGTGACCCACAGCAAAGTTTGTACGAATGGAAAGAGGCCCAGTGAGAACCTCAAACTTAATGTACCGTGAGGCTGTCTTGAAAAACAGGCTCTGGGCCTATGTTCTTGTGCTGCCTCTTTTGTGACAAACGACACCTTTAGATCACATGACAAAAAACAGTAACACAAAAGACTACAAAAGAAATGGAAAACAAGGTCCTGATTTGACAAAGGACGCTAAGCAGATGAGAACCGATACCAAAACCAAGGACCAAATTGACCATAAAAAGTCAAGGAGCTCAATGCAAAGAGAACAGAGTTCAGCACAGGTTCTGACCTGCCACAAGGCACAAGCAGCCTTTGTGGGTACTGCCCCTGGTTGACGGCGGGAGTCCATGGCAATGCGCAACTTAGACCAGGTCTTGTTGGAACCTGCAGAAAAACTGTGGAAGTGAAGACAACCCAAATGAGAATAAGCAAAAGGTGTTTACACAGAACTTGCTATAGAAAGGAAGTCAGCCACCATCACTGGCCTTCTCCAGAGATTCAGAGGCAGGCAGGGAAGTCTGGGAGATTTATGTTAGAAGAAGTTACATTCTGATTGCAGGTTGCTGGCCTAGGGATGCTGTAAGCTGGCTGACTAGAAGCACTGATTTCTATGTGATTGGTCAGAGATTCATATGTTGCTTTCTGTGGTTGGTCATAAATTGAAAGTGGAGGAAAAAATTAGGGAAGCTTGCAGTTATTGACCAAATGCCGGTATGTTTGACTGACTGTTGTAAAGGTCATGATAGAAGCTGTTTAGTCTTTAAGTACTAAGAGTTTAGAGGGTTTCTTAGCAGTTTGGCTGCTATACCAAAAATCCCATAGACTGGGTAGCTTGAAGAACAGATGCTTATGTCTCACAGCTTTGTAGGCTGGAAAGTATAAGATCAATGTGCCAGCAGATTCAGTATCTGGGGAGCATCTGTTCCTTGGTTAATAGCCAATCTCCGGCTGTGTCCTCACATGGCAAACAAGCCAAGGGAGCTCTCTAAGGTCCCTTTTATAAGGGGACAAATGTCATTCATGAGCACTCCTATGATTTAATCATCTCCTGAAGGCCCCACCTACTAATTGCATCACATTGGGGGTCAGAATCTCAACATATGAATTTTGGGGAAACATAAACATTCAGTCCATGACATAAGGCAACAGAAAAATGGTGCCTGTGCATTTGTGGGGCATTGACCTTCACTTCAAAACGCCTTCCTTGATGGTAATGGAGCATTTGACTCTCAAGGTGTGATATAAAAATAGACTGTAAATCAGAATTCTACCAGTTCTACCAAAGAGTCCACGATATGTGGATTTGAACAATGTATATCACAATATAACATTGAAGTTGTGTTTTGTGTACCAAGTAATTATCCATACTTCCGTATGTATACATAGTCTGAAAGTGTATTTGCCAAAATATTATCTTAAATCAATGGTGCCATATGTTTTGTTTTTATTATTTATGATGTCAATATACTGAGATATTTTAATAAATAGCACATGTCACTCAAAAATTTTATTATGAAGGCCGGGCGCGGTGGCTCAAGCTTGTAATCCCAGCACTTTGGGAGGCCGAGGCGGGTGGATCACGAGGTCAAGAGATCGAGACCATCCTGGTCAACATGGTGAAACCCCGTCTCTACTAAAAATACAAAAAATTAGCTGGGCATGGTGGTGTGTGCCTGTAATCCCAGCTACTCAGGAGGCTGAGGCAGGAGAATTGCCTGAACCCAGGAGGCAGAGGTTGCGGTGAGCCGAGATCGTGCCATTGCACTCCAGCCTGGGTAACAAGAGCGAAACTCCGTCTCAAAAAAAAAAAATTTTATTATGAAAAAATTATGCATCCAGTGTAGTTCAAAGAAATGTTTTATGAACATATATACATCAAGTAACTAAAGAGCAAAATTCACATTTTCTCTTTGCTTTATCATGTGTCAGTCACTCCACCCCGTCTGCCACAACCAAACACGTTATTATTATTATTTTTTTTTTGCATTTCAAAGTAAGTTGCAGACATCTTTGCAGTTCACCCCGGGACACAGTGGCATGCAGACTATAACATAGGGAAAGCAGTGAGAACCAACATTGCAAGAAAGAGGATGAATTCAAGTTCACCCAGGTTTATTTCAGATCCCAGAGCAGGAAACGAGGAGAGCAGACGAAGAGAAATGAGAATTCTGAAATAGTCCACTCCTGGGGGAAGACTGCTGTCAGGAAGGTGGAGCTGCTGCCCAAGCGAGGCTGGAGAGAGATGTAGAGTGTAGAACCACTGAACGTCAGGGCTACACATAGTAGGGCCTGGGGCAGACAGAACTTGCGGCAGCAGAGGAGAAGCCCCTGGCCCATGTGGAAGACACAAGCTGGGTGGATGGTGTGGATGCCACAGTGATGTGGAATGAGAAGAGAAAATAGGAGCCTGGGCTCCAACCAAGGAGTGAGCAGAGCCACACTTCTCACTCACTGAATCAGGGAACAGGCAGAAGGCTCTGGATCTTCACACCTGCCCAGTGAGGCAGCAGAGGTGGGAGAGGGAGAGTCTGACTACACAAGCTCAGGGAGAAGCAGGGGCCCCAACCTGACTGCACATGTGTCCCTGATCTGATTCCTTGAATTCTCCAGGTGTTAAAGAACCACGGACAAGACTACCTCACTGGCAATAAGCTGAGCCGGGCTGACATTCACCTGGTAGAACTTCTATACCACATGGAAGAGCTTGATCCCAGCCTCATCTCCAACTTCCCTGGGCTGAAGGTGAACTATTTCCCAGTCCTCAAGAGGCAGCCCCTTATCTCCCATCTTGGGATCTAGTATCTGGGCCCTTGGACTGGTCCCATTCTGACTCCAGCCTTCTCCAGGTCTTCAGTGTCCCCCAGGTGTCCAAAATGAGCTTCCAGTTCCTGATTCTGAGTCATGGAAATGCCTTCTTGTTATGCCAAGGAAATTCTATGTGCGTGCTACCCCAAGAAGAATATTTTGCCTTTTATAATACCAGGGGCCCAGGGACCAGCATGTCTCCTCATCTATCTATTTCACTGTGGTTTCTGTTCCTGAGTTCGCTGTGATGCTCTTTATTCCAATATGCCCTTCTCTTCCCACACCAAGTGTGTCTGAGCGGGGCCCTTTCCTTCCTGGGTCTCTGGCTCCTGCTGTCATATAATAGTGTTCCTCTCTGTACAGCTCTCCCAACACACCACCCCAACCCTGTATTTCTCTATGGGAAAAAGTGGACCCATTCTTTGTCTTTAACACTTTCGATTTTCATTTCTAATGTAATTTTCCCATATCTTCCCTTCTGCTTAGATACTGATCTGTGCTGATATCCACAGCCTCATTGTTCTTTCTTGTCTTGTACAAGAGCCATGAACCTGCAGATTAATGTGTAAGAAAGAGGGTAGGAAGACTGAACTGAATAAAGTCTTAAAGACATTGTTTGGGAAAATGCTAGCGAGCTACATGTTCTTGCTCTTATCTTCATTTCTCACTCGGTGTCTGTTTCTGCCTCCATGTTGGTGCTGAGGGAGGGGACCCAGTTGGTCTTTGTGTAGGAAGGGCTCAGAATCCCTGGGTAGTGTTAATGGTGGTGTCAGCCCTTGGCTTTTACTCTGAAACTGTGCTTTGTGCACTGCAGGCCCTGAAAACCAGAATCAGCAAACTCCCCTCAGTGAAGAAGTTTCTGCAACCTGGCAGCCAGAGGAAGCCTCCCACAGATGTGAAACTTTTAGAAGAAGCAGGGGAGGTGTTCAAGATTTGATAAAGCAGGCACGGATACCAAGAACATGCAAGACCAATATTCTTATGTCTTGCAACACTAAATTGTTCTATCTAAATGTTGATTGTGGCTATTGTGGAGTGAATAAACCTTTTTAAAATCATATGCTAATTACATAGTAAAATATGTATGACCAGATTTAGTTAAAAATGATTTATTTTAGCTAGGATCTGATATGAAATCAGATTTCCAATCTCCCCCTAAATTTTCTTGGAATTAAAAATTTAGTAAAAAAGCAAAATGTAGATTATGTGGTTTGTTTGACTTTTTCAAGAATTGACCTGTAACACTTGTCATACAAGTGTAGAAATTTTAAAAAAAGGTGTAGAAATTTACTTCTGACATTCTGCACAAGAAAAGAGTTATCATTCTGGGTCATTGCAAAATGAAATTTTCTTTTTTCCTTGACATCCACATTATTTCTGATGAAAACATTTTTTCTTATGCATTTTCAAATAACCATTCCATCTGCTGTGGACTCCTCAGTGTTCTGGGAGGTGAGGAAATACTGAAGAGCAAGCAGACTCGCCCTCTGCTCTCAGGCCACCCTGCTGTCCCTCACAGTGTGTGTGCTCCTGGCTCGTCCTCACTCTGCTCCTTAAGGCTCTGTGGGGCCCCAGGCGTGAACCTTCCCTCAGTTCCCTCAGTGCCACTCAGGCCTGGGCTGCCAAGATGCAGATGGTATCTGAATTACATACAAGTAACTAAATGCAAAATCATTTTTCCCTGGTGTGTCAATGTGCCAGAGTGCTTGGATTAGGAGCGATTTCCAGGAATCCTTCCCTGTGTCTTGTAGCTTCTGGGGGTCTGTTGGCATTTCTGGGGTTTCCTGGATCATGGCCATATCACTCTGATTTCTGCTTCTGTCTTCCAGCACCTCACTCTCTGTGTGTTGTGTCTTCTCTTTGCTGTGAGGACAATTGTCATTGGATTCAGAGCCTATCCAGATATACCAAGATGATCTCAAGTTCTCTTACTTCATGACATCTGCTCTGCAAAGAGCCTTTTTTCAAATAGGACCACACTCACAGGATCTAGGGATTTCTATATGGGCACATCTTTCTTGGGGGCCGACATAACCCCCTACGTGGTACAGATGAAGAAAGATGATTTGCAATTGATGAATCTGGGTGATGGCTACTTTCAGATTTGTTACATTACAGGCAATTTGAGTGATGCAAAGAGGAAAGCATATGCAAATAGAGTTTTCGGATTTGGCAGAAAAAATACAGGACACCCATCTAAATGTGAATTTCAGATAAACAGTAAATAATATTTCAGTATAATCATGTTTCATACCATGTTTAGAACATAGTTATCACTAAAAAATTATTGTTTGCCTGAAATTCACATTTATGTGGATGTCCTGTAGTTTATTTGGCAACCCAGTAAGAAGAGTGCCATCAGCCTGTCCTCCAAAGACATCCCCTCCCAGCTATGCTCACATTAGATGTTGCCCTAATCCTTGCCCTAATCCTTGCATCCAACTAATGAAAAAAAACATTTAAAAAGCCAGTTTCCGCTGACTTGCAAAGAGAGCAAAATCCGGGTGAAATGTATTGTTTAAACTTTAATTGCAACCTTGAAAAGGAACATATTAACCAGTTATCCTCTGATAAGCATATCACTTGCCTCATGTCTTAGAATCCACTAGGTGGCCCTTTGGCCATGTAATGTGTGTGGGACTGGCTTTTCCCTAATTTGACCCTTCTCCTTTCAGTGGGAGGGAACTATTGAAAGGAACAATGAGCTTATAAATACATTAGGACCTGGAATTCAGTTGTTCAGCCAAGCCACGAGGGTGGACAGCGTTTAACAAAGTAAGTACTGGTCTTACAAATCTCCCTACGGTGCCTCACACCCTCCTCTCTAGCCTCCTAGAAAAATATGCTAATATGTGTTCTTAGCATAAGAAAAATTCTGTTTTTACTCATATCATGCCATCTTGGTGTGTTTTGGTGATAGCTCAAGAATTGTTTATTTCTTTTCTGTTGGGTACATCTTTAGAGAAATGTAGAAATGAAGAATTCAGAAAACCAGGGCCTCAGAATTTAATGGTATGGGAAAAAATGACATGAGAAGAAAAAAAGAAATGGCAGTATTTTAAACAATCTGAGAATAATCAGTGCTCGAAGAAGTGGCAATGTATGTGAAAATTAATTTCTCTGTAGAAGTAGTCAACACACAATTGTTGTAAATTGTGATACTGTAATACTATATTGCCTGTGAAAATTCAAAACTTAGGTTTATTATAATTAGAATAAATTAGGTTGAATGTCAGGAGAACTAGATTCTAGTTGAGACTTTGCCACTAATGAGCTTGACAAGCAGTCATATTCTGTCTCTGGAGTTCTACCAACTCATAGCAAATTAGAGAATAGCTAAGAAAGAGTCTCTGACTGTTGATGCCCTTTGAACTGTGTAATTCTTTGAATGGAGAGATGTCCTGCCCACCCCAGGAAGTTTCTAGGCATCTCTGGCCTCTACCTATCTGATTTGTAGACCCCTCTCCCTACATGACTTCATGGGGCTCAGCAAGGCTGTGTTACTGATGTGCCACACTGCTTGGAAAGTCACTGAAAATTTCTTGTTAATCCAGGTGGACTGATTAGTGAGTATCATTAACCTCTGCACAAGAGCTAAAAAGCAAAGAGAGAGAGAGAGAAAGAGACAGAGAGCCATCATACAACAGGTTTAATACAAGTCTGGATTCATATAAAATCTTATTTCTACTAGAGTTCTATGGACAAAATATAAAGAACTAGAGAGATGGATACAAGATAGATAACAGATGATGAAGAGGCAGACAGATTACAGACAGATACAGAGAACAATAGATAAAATAATACATAATTGGATGAGTAGACAGAGATTACAAAGAGATACATATACAGAGATTGTTCATAGGTAAAATAATTGATGGATAGATAGATCAAAGAAAGAGGTTTCATGTGCTCCTCACTGTCCAGAGACTCACCCATCTGCCAAGCTCTGGGACAAGAGCCAACACCCATTGCTGAGCTCCTACTATGAATTTTTTGTACACCATCTCATTTAACTTTCTCAACAACCCTCAAAAGTAGAAATAACTATCTCTATTCTAAAAAGAGAAAATTGACGCTCAGAGATTAAACAACCTACTGCATTTATGCACCTCATAATTGAAAGAGTCATGGTTTATCTCATTCTCCCTTCTCTTTGATAAGAAACAGAGTAATTGGGACCACCTCAGAGATGTAACTCCTTTAATTTCCTCCTGGAATTATCACAGCTTATATTCTTTTCAAAACAAGCCCATATTTTTTAATGGATGCAAATACAGTTATACTAGTCCTCAGCTCACTCTGGCATTTAGGTTGTCAAAGTAGAGAAAGGTACACTTCTATTAATTTTTTCTTCCAAGCAAGCCCCTGAAAAGTTGCTAACAGAAAGAACTCAGGAACTAGATGTGTTCCTCTCACCCTCATTTTCCAACATTTAGTTGGCTAATGGACTCTGAATAGAAAAATGTAAAATTGCTCAGACAGGAGCAGAGCCAGCTTACAGGCTTGAGTGCAAAAGCTCTGGACCTGCGATCAGAAGGAGTTCAGGCGGACCCAGCACTCACCAAGTGTGCAGCATGAGACAGGTGCTGCAGCTCTCTGAACCTCAGTGTGCCCATCTTTAATCTGGATATTAGGAGCCATTTCCCAGCGTTGTTGCAGAAGGTCGACACACTCCCTAGATACTGACCACGAATGAGAAGCATGTTTGTACGACCCATGTCAAACCCTTGAGCTCTCCAGTTCTCATTTTCTGTTTACCCAACAAAGCTCAACGGTAACCTTTGCCCAAGTTTTTTTTTTTTTTTTAGACAGAGTTTCGCTCTTGTTGCCCAGGCTGGAGTCAATGGCGCGATCTCGGCTCACCGCAACCTCCGCCTCCTGGGTTCAGGCAATTCTCCTGCCTCAGCCTCCTGAGTAGCTGGGATTACAAGCACACGCCACCATGCCCAGCTAATTTTTAGTATTTTTAGTAGAGATGGGGTTTCACCATGTTGACCAGGATGGTCTCGATCTCTTGACCTCGTGATCCGCCCGCCTCGGCCTCCCAAAGTGCTGGGATTACATGCTTGAGCCACCGCGCCCGGCCACCTTTGCCCAAGTCTTAGCATGACCTGTGGGAACCCTCATATTGAGAAGGTAAAATGGTAGTTATTAGCAGGAGTGTTGTGATAAAATGTTATGCAAGATAAACATTTACTTCCTTTTGAAACCTGATCCTCAGTTAATAACTAAGGGAGCTTAGTGTGGGGATTAGAATTACGACACTGTGAACTCTAGTCCAAAACAATTAAACAAGCACACCCCATTCTCTCTGTGAGCTTCACTCTCCCTTTTATTCTGCTGAATCATGCTACTTCCATTTCCCAAGTTAGGAAAGTACAATGTCAAAATATCAAATTGCAAAACAAGTGAGCTGATTCAGTACAATTTCAAAGAATTCTTTACTTTCCAAAGGTCAAATGATTGACTTCCATATTTTAAAATGTAGACTTTTAAAAGACTTTGATGTCTAAATTTAAGTCATACACGCTTTTTTGGAAATTAGTTGAGGCCAGGTGCGGTGGCTCATGCCTGTAATCCCAGCATTTTGGGAGGCTGAGGAAAGTGGATCACCTGAGGTCAAGTGTTCGAGACGAGCCTGGCCAACATGCTGAAACCCTGTCTCTACAAAAAATACAAAATTAGCTAGGTGTGGTGGCACGTGCCTGTAATCCCAGCTACTTAGGAGGCTGAGGCAGAATTACTTGAACCTGGGAGGCTGAGGTTGCAGTGAGCTGAGGTCACGCCATTGCACTCCAGCCTAGGCAAAAAGAGCAAAACTTCATCTAAAAAAAAAGAAGAAAAGAAATACATTGGTTGTTAAAGGCAAGTACATTTTTGTTCGCCAAACTCAACAACCATAAAATGTTGCAAAAAATAATCTTAATGTTTAAGAACAGAGCTGCGCATTTGGAGAGAAAATGCAACTGTTCCTGTCCTGGCACTGGAACTTCTGCTTTGAATGAGTCCTCTGTGTTTCCATTCACGTTCATGATACAATTAGTTGCCTCTGTCCCTGCAGCCGCTGCTTTCCATTCTCTGACACTCTGCTGTGTTCCATCTCCCAAGCAGCCTGGGATAGAACAAGGGCTATCAAACTTCACTGATGAGCCTCAAAACATTCATCTCTAAGCATTTACAGTGACCGAGTGAGCGTGCACACATGCAAACCCCCAGGCACACAACATACAAACAACTGAAACTAAAAACTCAAGAAACATTACTTCTCCTTCAACAAGTCATGCTCACTGATATTTTCTATTCTTTTCTATTTTATTTTTTAAAGTAGTGGGATTTCACAATCTGCTGAAAGATTACCATGCATATTTGAGAAACACTAGCATAGAAAATAAGACTCAGTATTTGGTTTTTAAGAGCAGTAAGTCTGAATCCCAGATCCACTACTTACTCTGAGCAACTTACTTTACAAACCTCGGGATCCCCGACTGTAAAATGAGAATGACAACCGCATTCATCTCAGGTGATTTTTGTAGGATAAAATGAAGAGAAGTTTAGAAGAATGACCAGTGTGTGACTGTCATTGAACAAATGCTAGCACCTTCCATATCTTGCAAAGTTAATGCAGCAACACCTCTTTTTCCAGGTTATAAAACAAAATGCACCCCACAGAGTTAGAATACAGAATGCCAAAAGAAGCAAGGGACTAGTATTCTCTGCCTGTTGCAAGAATTTGGATCATCTAGCTACAGTGAAACAAGTCTGAGGCCTAATTTCTGCTTTTGATTAAATGCAGCCTCACAGCCAAAGAGCTGAAGAGTGACTTAGCTCCCTCGCTGTCCTCCCTGTCAGTGATATCCTCTGGTTTCATGGCCAGTTCATAGGTTCCCAGGGCCTTCACCTCGGTGGCTTCCAGGTGTGCCTTCATTTTAGTCCTGGGTGTAGATATTCATGTCCATCACCAACTGGAATGTGACTGTGAACACTGCCTTTCTCTGATGTTCTATTTCATTAACTAAAAAATGGAGATAACCACCATTTCATGGGACTATGAGAAGGGTTAAAGATATAAAATATTGAAAGGGACTAGCATTGAGGAAGGATCATTAGGAAGTTTTCAATAATTATTAGTTCTTGAATTCTTTCTCTTCCCATTAACTTCTATACATGTATTATTACCACATGCTCTCACCTCTTAGCATGGTGAGAATGGTCATGTGAGACCACTGGGAAAGACTGGGGTTTGCTGGAATCTGAGGGTGGCCACTGATGGGTAACAATTTGGGCCAAGAAAACATTCCAGGAACTCCTCCACCCCAGTCATGAAGAAGGCAGATGCTTCGTCAGCATTGTTGGTGGTTCTCAATCATACATCTTAAAGCACATTTTTGATCCTATGGTTTCCATCATTCATTCATTCATTCATTCATGCAGGTTTGGAGAAACCTCCAGGAGACTGCTATCATGGCGGAGAAGCCCAAGCTCCACTATTTCAATGCACGGGGCAGAATGGAGCCCATCCGGTGGCTCTTGGCCTCAGCTGGAGTAGAGGTAGGTTCTGAATTAGGTCATCTGAAGTTGGATTTAAAAGCACATTATCACATACTTCTCCCACAGAAACTATGAGATGATTACTTACTGAAGCATTGTGGCTTAAATTAAAATGGACTGTCATTAAGAAAAAGATGAACAGATTTGATCTAATAATTGTTAAGATTTCTTTTCAGCTAAGAGCCTAATATTAAAATACATTTAAGAAACTAATCACAAAGTGTAGACCTTAAGTGGATTAGAATTTAAAGAAACTGTAAAAAGTAATTTATAGCATTTATATAACATTTAGAAACATGACTATTGATTGAATATTTGATGACATGAAAGAATTATTGTTAATATTGCATGTGTGATAATGTACTATGGCCACCTTCAGAATAGTTAATATGTTTTAAGAAAACACATGGAAGTAATTAAGGATTAATCATGTGGATTTGGGATTTCCTTGAAATTATTAAAAGAGGAGAAGTAAACCTACATTGGTTTTGGTTGATAATTGTTCGTTCTAGGTGAGAAGTATATGTAGAATCATTATGTTTTTTGGTTTACTTTTATTTCTGTTCATAATTTCCACAATAAAACAATAAAAATGCATAATATTAAAAATGGTTGTAATTAGAGGTAGAATGCAAACTACAAATGAGAGGCAAAAGAGGGTGGATTGTAACTAACTACCTCTTAAAGATTGACTACATTCACAGCAATTATTTGTTTGAGCACTTATTAATTCCAGGTTCTGTACTAGGTCATGGAGATAGACAGCAAACAAGACAGGCACAGTACCTGCCCTGGGGCAGCCTACAAGTCTATGAGGATGCAGACAAGTAAACACGTCATTAAAATGAGGGGTGGAGGCTTCTAGAGTACACCCAAGCATTCCCCAGCGTTACCAGGCCATCCTCGCAGTGTCTGAGCAGGAAACGCTGGGAGGTGTCTGCTGGACTCCACTGAGTGCTGGCCTCTAGAGGTGTCATTGAGAAAAACACTTCCCAGTGCAGACCAGAGTCCCTCAGTCACTGCCTGAGGGTTTTCCTGAGTCATGGACAGACTCAGAAGACATTGTCCCTCGGGTGGCAGCAGAAAAGAAGGGTTTCAGGTGAGGCGGCGCCCTGTGAAGGGAAATTCTAGTGCTCCCCCTCAGCCTCCCAGCGCCATGTGGACCTGAGCCTTGGGATGGCACTTTCCCCATTGTTTCATGAGGGCTTGAGACTTTAGACCCCCCCTTTCTCAAACCTATGAAGAAACAAGCACACGAGAAATCCACACGCTGCCATTCCAGGTTGTTTTCTTTGTGCAAATGAATACCCTGTCTCACTGTCACCCAGATGTCAGCTCTGCAGCTCAGGGATGTGTTTAGAGCCTGGGCAGGAAGGGTTCAGCAGAAGGGAGGGAGGGGCCAGGCTGGAAGCAACCCTCACTCCCTGCTCTCCATCCAGCCTGACTGAAGGCAGGGACAGGGCTGACTGCACAGCTTGCTGATGTTTCTGAGGTCTCAGTGCCCTAAGGCTGATGATCACAACCCAGTCCTCAGCCTCACAAGCACATCCCACTTGCCAGCCCCACCTCACTTCAGCCACCCTCCTGCCAGGAACACCCACCGTTCCTTAGGTTTGTGCTAAACCAGATGCTGTATTAATTTCTGGCACACACCTCCCATGATCCCTAGATCCTGGTCCAGTGTGAGCACAGATCCACAACAAACTCTGTTCCATGGAGCAAGCTATAAACTTCCAAATTCCTGACCTTTCATCATAAAGAACTCCGTTAAAGTATAATTAGCCACTGCAAACACCACTACTATTTATTACTTTATATATGTGGGTCAGGCCCTGTATCGTGCATTTTGAAACATTGGAATATTCCATTTAAGAAAATATTCTATTCCCATTTTGCAGATAGGGAATCTAAAGCTTAAAGATTTTTAAGTGATAATTCCTAGATCACACAGATATTTTGAGGCAGAGTCAAGACTGGAACCAGATCATATCAACACTGAAATCCAGAAAGTCTTAATAACCTTTGATTAGACTTTTTGTTTGCTGGATTCTGCCTATTTAAGTCAACTACATCATTACATAAAAACTGATTTTCATATTTATATTAAATACCTACATCCACTCATACCTTCTGATCATATTGAGACATCCTCGTTGCTGGCTGCCATTTCCATGAAATTGACTTGTCTCAGAACAAGGTGTAATTTACTCCAAGGTTTAAGTTACTGGATATAGATCAAGAATGAAGTATAGTTTCATGAATATTAGATTGATTTAAATTTTTAAAGGGATTATATGATGAAATAGCCAACTATATCTCAAAATTCTAAAGATAACTTGTATTTAATGAGCAGTTACTATATACCTGCTACTTTTCTAAGTGTTTATGTGACCTTGTAATTTAATATTGATATGAACCTATACCATAGGTACCATAAGTATACCCATTTCCTAGATTAGCATACTCAGACCCAGAGAAATTCGTTAACATGTCCAAAGTCAAGAATCCAGTACATGAAAATGGTGTTATTGAACCCAGAATACCACATCAGAAACCAGAGGTTTTAATTAAAAATAATGTTAGTGCCGGGCACGGTGGCTCAAGCCTGTAATCCCAGCACTTTGGGAGGCCGAGGCGGGTGGATCACATGGTCGAGAGATCGAGACCATCCTGGTCAACATGGTGAAACCCCGTCTCTACTAAAAATACAAAAAATTAGCTGGGCATGGTGGCACATGCCTGTAATCCCAGCTACTCAGGAGGCTGAGGCAGGAGAATTGCTGGAACCCAGGAGGCGGAGGTTGCGGTGAGCTGAGATCACGCCATTGCACTCCAGCCTGGGTAACAAGAGCGAAACTCCTTCTCAAAAAAAAAAAAAATAATAATAATAATGTTAGTGTGGGACTCTAATTCCTTTATTAAATTGAGAATTTTACCCTATTGTGTCCCATGTACTTCAGAAGAGGAAATTAGTTATAAGTGTTAAAGCTGTCCAACAGCTGCAACCTATTTCACCCTCAGCAGGGTTCCCGAATAGTGGGGTGATATAAATTACAGCAGAGGCTCCTTGGTGGCAGAATCTTTGTTGGTGATTAGCCCATGGCATACCCCATGCTGGGGACACACAAGGTTGTGGTCTGATCTCATCTGGAGACACAGGCTCTCCTGAGATATGACAACACCATGACTAGGAGAACTGCTCAGTGCGTTTTCTCCAGTGACATCTCCTCTCAAAACATGACATAATCATACACCTTCGTGATATCAAGGTGGAGGTGAAGTGAAGATTGAGCAGCTGTGTGCTGTAACTCATGCATTATTCTCGATAAAGCAGGTTTAAATTTCCAAATGGCCATGAACAGCCCCCTTTGTGTACCCTGCCAAACTGAGAAAACTTATACTTTCCAAATGATGCACCAGATAGGGGCCATTCAATGTCACAGGTCTATAATACAATGACCTAACAAGAACCCATTCACTGTTTCTGCTTCTAGTTTGAAGAGAAATTAATAAAATCTCCAGAAGAATTGGACAAGTTAAGAAACGGTAAGATCAACCTCTAAGTGCCTCTGATGGGGGTATCTAATAGAAGGGAGGTTTGAGCAGCCAGCAATGCCTATGTGTGTGTGTGGGGTGGTGGGGGGGTGGTATTAGGGCATGGTGGAGAGAGAGAAAGTGGCTAATATGGAAGGGATGTGGCTCCTTGATCAGGTCTGGCTACTCTCTCCAGGCTAAAAGGACCAGATCTCTAGAGTAATTGCTAGAGGAACCATCTCCAGTGCCCTGAGAAAGCCTTTTCTTTGTCTTCATGCTTGGGACACAGTAAATGAGCTATAGTCATCAGCTTGGGATCCACACAGCCCTTCCCATCCAAGGACATGCAAGAACATGCATTTGATGAAAGGAGGAGAAATAGATGTGGCAATTGCCTTGAGTTTTTTTCTTTCATGGAGGGGTGTGACAAGGTAACACTGTAGCATTTTTGCAGACTTTGAATAGCAAAGAAAGTGACTCTTACATAAAAACCTCTCAGAACCTGCCTTAAATGTCACAAACACCATGAGACTTACTCTAGGAACTTCCTGTTTTAAATGGTATCTTGTTGCTAGTCCTACTACAATTTGTCCCAACATCTCCCTAAAATGTCCATGAAGATAAATCAACACAAAAAAAATACAAGAGTCCTACTATGTGTCTGGAGGGGAAATAAAAACATAAGTAAAATAAATGGATAAATAGTAAAGGGAAGCTTCTAAAGAAAAATAACTACAGGAAGCTTTTAAAAATTGTTGTTTGGCCAGGTGCAGTGGCTCATGCTTGTAATCCCAGCACTTTGGGAGGCTGAGGCAGGTGGATCATTTGAGGTCAGGAGTTCGAGACTAGTTTGGCCAACATGGTGAGAACCCCATCTCTACCAAAAACACAAAAGTTAGCCAAGCATGATGGCACACACCTGTAATCCCAGCCAGTTGGGAGGTTAAGGCAGGAGAATTGCTTGAACTCGGGAGGCAGAGGTTACAGTGAGCCAAGACCATGCCACTCCACTCCAGCCTGGGCAACAGAGTGAGACTCTGTCTCAAAAAAATAAAAATAAAATAAAAAAGTTGTTTCAAGTGAAATCTTACCAGACAAGAATTTCTTCTTCATTTTACAAATTTAGTCATTTCCACAATCATTTTTTCATCCTGAAAGATAGAGTTCCATAGATATTTAACTCTCCCTTTTTTCATTCTTTTCCCAAGATGGGTATTTGATGTTCCAGCAAGTGCCAATGGTTGAGATTGACGGGATGAAGCTGGTGCAGACCAGAGCCATCCTCAACTACATCGCCAACAAATACGACCTCTATGGGAAAGACATAAAGGAGAGAGCCCTGTACGGTATATTTTCTGTTTTTCCATCAACAGAGAGCACAGAGTGATTTAGGTCCTTCCTTGAGTGGGCGGGACCATGGCAGGGGCATCATGACCAGCAGCAGGCTGGGCCTTGGGTGTGTATGCTGAGGTGCCGTACTGCAGAGTCGCATGGAGATGAGGGAACAGTGAACATGGGGTGGGTTCAGGCGAATGTGATTCTAGAAGAGGATGCAGTCCATGGATCCAGCACCTGACGGCGATTTCCAAACACTGATGGACCATGAACTGAGGAGGATGCGAATCATGATTCCAGGTGCTCAGGCCTTCAGAGGCTGGACTCCAGCCAACAGCTTATGACAAGCATAGAATATTTGAGTCTGTAGATGAAGGACTGGGGAGGGAAGGCTACAAAGAAGCTGAATCTCAAGTCCTAGTAATTCCAAGAATGATGTCCAGGAACCCAAATTACCAGCCAATTATATGGACTGGAACAGCTGAGCAGGACTAGTAGAGGTTGGTGCCCAGGATGCTGGGGTTATCTTGACACATGATAGAAGGACGAAGCAGCCAGATTTGTTCAATACCAGCAAAGTCAAGGAGTCTCCTTGCTGTTGTGAAGAGACTGCATGATTCCAAACAAATCCTGAATGGAACTGTTGGTAACTCCTCAAAAACTTTAATATGATATTACCAACAACCCAGCAGTTCCTCTAATAGGTATATCCCCAAACAATAAAAAATACGTCCACACTAAATCTTTTAGATAAATGAACAATGCAAATAACAACATTCACAGTATTCAAAAAGTGGAAATAACCCAAATATCCATCAATCAATAAATGGAGGAGAAAAATGTGCCTTAGCCATGCAATGAAATGATATTTGGTCATGAAAAAGAATGAAGTACTGATGCATGCTACATAGAAGATGCTACATAAAAGAAACAAGACACAGAAAGCCATGTATTGTAGGATTCTTTTCATATGAAATGTCCAGAATATTCAAATCCATAGAGGCAAAAAGTAGATTAGTGGTTGCCTGGTGCTAAAGGAGTGGGGCTTGGGGATGAATACTGCTAATGGCACAGATGTCCTTATCAGGGTGATAAAAACTATTCTGGAAATATACTGTGATGATTTTTACAGAATTCTGTGAATGCACTAAAAACCACTCATACTTAACAGGTGACAATTACAGCATGTGAATATACATCAATAAATCTGTTGTTTTAAAAAATACTGTGAAACCCCAGTTTGACACAAAAGAGGAAAAGTTTGCACTGGTTGTGACTGTATAGAGAATTTCACCAAGGAAGACAATCTTTCAGGTGGGGTCTCAGGAAAGGCACACATGAAGGGCAACAGCACACAGAGAGGGCTGTGGAATTATACCTCAGGGGAGTAATTGGAGGAACTGCTAACATGGGGCATAGAAGCAGGCCTGGGAGGTGTAAAATGATGAGACAGGATGAGGAACATGGCTGAGATGGCTGTGCCAGGGACTCTCTTAGGATTACTCAGGAGGCAGGTCTTTGGCCATTTCACTCACACTAAGTTTATGCACAGAACAAACCACAATAGAAATGGTAAATCCCGGCACAGCATCCGTGATTACTGGCAGTGATTCCACAAATTTCTCTCATGACTGTGACCACCGATGCTCTTTTTACCTGTATTAAGTCACATATGTAACAAAATTTAGAGATATATCTACCTCGATAGGTTGTTTTTAAAAAATAAATGTTAATATACCTGTACGAATCAGAGCATAATCTCTAGAATATAAATGGCACCCACTGGAAGTGAATTACTTTGTCAACACCTGATACTCTATTCTCTTAGGTTTCTATAAACCTATGAAATTAAAGGCAAAAGGCATTTGACCGTTTGGTTGTTTTTGTCTTTCAGGATTGATATGTATATAGAAGGTATGGCAGATCTGTATGAAATGATCCTTCTTTTGCCCTTATGTAAACCTGAGGAAAAAGATGCCAAGATTGCCATGACCAAAGAGAAAACAAAAAATCGCTATTTGCCTGCCTTTGAAAAAGTAAGTGAAGGTGTTCAGCGTTTGGGGCACTGAGTTTAGAGGACAGTAGAAAAATAGTGGCCGGGCATTCCTGGGCGACACTGACCTTCACTTTCAGTGAGACTTCTGAACACCAATGCAGCACTCTGACTCTCAGGAGATTTTATGAAAACAGACTTGGAGGAACAATTATACCAGTTATACCCAAGCTGTAATTTTCCAGTAAAATTTTGATTTACTAGACCCCAACATGAAATTTTCTGTTCAACCAAAATTTCATGTTCATAAGTAGAATGTGGGCTGTGGAAGGCTCTGAACCACACTAGGGGTTGCTTCTGAGTCCGTGGAACACCACAGACTTTGATTGAAGATGAACATGATGAACGCGATCCATCAGAAAACATTCTGGCACCATGTGTAGGAAGACAAGAGACAAATTGCCCAACCAGAGAATATTGCAGTGTTTCAGGGATGGGTAGTTTTCAAAAGGAGAGTGACTGTGGGATGCAGAGGAAGATTTTGTAAAATGAATTTGATAGGAAGTTGCAGACATCAGTGCAGTTCACCCCTGAATGCTTCAGCTTGCAGATTATAACGTAGTGCGGGGTTAGGAGTCAGAATCGATGCTATAAGAAAGATGATGAATTCAAGTTCACCCAGGTTTACTTCAGATCCCAAGGAGATAGAACAGGGAATGGGGAGAGCAGACAAGGAGAAATGAAGACTCTGAAATAGCCTAGTCATGAAGGTGGAGTTGCTGACCAAGGGAGACTGGAGAGGGAGCAGAGTAGAGCTGCATCGTGAATGTCAGGACTGCACGCTGGAGGGCACGGGGCAGACAGAACATGCAGAGGCAGGTGCGAAGCCCTTGGCGCACGTGGAAGAGGCAAGCTGGGTGGGTAATGTAGATGCCACGGTGATATGGAATGAGAAGAGAAAATGATAGCCTGAGCTCCAGCTGAAGAGTGGGCAGAGCTACACTTCTTACTCTGTTACTCATTCAGATAATGTGGAGAAAGTTCTGGATCTCTGCACCCAGGCAGTAAGGTGACAGAGGTGGGGAAAAGTCAGGGTGAAGAGGCTTAGAAAGAAGCAGGGGTCCTGCGCATGTGATCCTGATCTGATTCCTCAAAATCTCCAGGTCTTAAAGAGCCACGGACAAGACTACCTTGTTGGCAACAAGCTGAGCCGGGCTGACATTCAGCTGGTGGAACTTCTCTGCTACGTGGAAGAGCTTGACTCCAGCCTTACCTCCAGCTTCCCTCTGCTGAAGGTGACCCATTTCACCACCCAGAGAGGCAGCCCCACATCTCCCATCTTGGGATCTAGTATCTGGGCCCTGGGACTGACCGTGTTCTAACCCCAGCCTTCTCCAGGCCTGCAGCGCCCCCAGGTTTCCAAAATGAGCTTCCAGGCTCCAGTTTTGAGAAATGAAAACACTTTTGTTATGGAAAGGAAATTTGTGGTGCATGCTACCCCATGAAGAGAATTTTGCCTTTTACCATGGAAAGGACCCAGGGCCCAGAATCTCTCCCTAACCCTCTATTTCACTGTGGTTTCTGTTCCTGAATGCTCTGTGATGCCCTTTATCCTAGATGTGCCCTTGTCTTCTTGCACCGAGTCTGTCTGAGCAGGACGCTTTCCATCTGGTTTCCTTCCCGGGCTCCGGCTCCTGCTGTCAGACATTGTGTTCCTCTCTGCACAGCTCTCCCAAAACACTGCCCCAACCCTGTATCCCTCACTGAGAAAAAGTGGTCCCATGGTTTGTCTTTAATATTTTCTATAATATATTCCTTTGCAACTCATTTCCCCATATTTTCACTTCTGCTTAGAGACTGATCTGTGTTGATATCTCACAGACACATTGTTTCTTCTTGTCTTACACAACAGCCACAAATCTACAGGATTAATATGTAAGGAGAAAAATAGGGATGACAGAAGTGATTAAAACTTAGACATCTTTGGGGAAGATACAAAGTAAGCTACATGTTCTCCCTCTTACTGTAATTTCTCACTGGGTGTCTGTTTCTGCCTCCATGCTGGTGCTGATGGAGGGGACTCACTTGGTCTTTGGCAGGACGGCTCAGATTCCCTAGGTTGTGTTAATAGTGGCGTCAGCCCCTGGCTTCACTCTGAGGCTATGCTTTGTGAATTACAGGCCCTGAAAACCAGAATCAGCAACCTGCCCACGGTGAAGAAGTTTCTGCAGCCTGGCAGCCCAAGGAAGCCTCCCATGGATCCGAAAACTTTAGAAGAAGCAAGGAAGATTTTCAGGTTTTAATAAAGCAGCCATGGAGGCCAAGAACATGCAAGGCCAATATTCTAAAGCTTTGCAACAATAAAGTGCTTTACCTAACTGTTGATTGTGCCTGTTGTGAAGCTAATGAACTCTTTCCACTTATATGCTAATTAAATAATAAAAAACTCCTATTTGCCGACAGTTAAAATTGATTTCTTTTCATTAGGATCTGATATGAATTCAGATTTCCAATCTCCTCCTAGCCTATCATATCACTTTCTTGGAATTAAAAATTTAGTAAAAAAGGAAACTATAGATTATGTGGTGTGTTTGACTTTTCCAAGAATTGTCCTGTAACATTTGTCATGCAGTCTACTAAACTGTCAAATGTAGAAGCGTACATCTGACATTTTCAGGTCTGCACAGGGAAGGAATTATCATTCTGGGTAATGGCTTAAAGACATTTTCTTCTTTTCCTGGACAGTCATTTTATTTCTGGTAAAAGCATGCTTTCTGACACATTTTCAAGACAGCTAATCCGTCTGCTGTGGCTTCCTCAGTGTTCTGGGAGGTGAGGAAATACCGAAGAGCAAGCAGACCCGCCCTCTGCTCTCAGGCCACCCTGCTGTCCCTCACAGTGCGTGTGCTCCTGGCTCATCCTCACCCTGCTCCTTAAGGCTCTGTGGGGCCCCGGGCGTGAACCTTCCCTCAGTTCCCTCAGTGCCATTCAGGCCTGGGCTGCCAAGATATAGATGGTATCTGTGAATTACATACAAGTAACTATATGCAAAATCATTTTTCCCTGGTGTGTCAATGTGCCAGAGTGCTTGGATTAGGAGTGCTTCCTAGCTTCAGCCTCTACTGGGCCTATAATGCTAATCCCTCCCAGGATATCTGGGCTTCTGCAAAGTGAGCTCTCCTCCTCTGAGAGTGGCTTCCCCACAGTTGGCGAAGGTGGATGAGGGAGCAGACAGACACACAGGCTTCCTACCTGCAGCTTCACTTTGCTCTCATCTCTTTTCTGCTTGTAACAAGAATAGTTTTTCTAAAACACACACACACACACAAATCACAGAATTCTTCACTGCAGACAGAACGCATCCTCACACCCATCCTCACTCCCTGATCTCCAGCCCAATCAACCCTCTGAGCATGGTGGGGCCTCTTGCCTTCCTGCCTGGGTGCATTTTGTTACCCCTGCCTGGCAAGCTTCTTCCCAGTGGCCACACTTAACGCTACCTCACTGCTTCCCAGGAACGGCGGGATGTCCTCTGTGCTCTCCACAGGGCCCCAGTGAGCCTCTAATAACACCTGAAGGCCACTGTGTCTGCTCCACTGTCCTGTGAGCTCATGGTGTGGGGATTGGCCTGCTGGGTCCCCAGCGGCTCATCACCAATGGACAATATCTGCATAGATCCATGCGCAGCTCTATTATGCCTCCAGAACCTGGGTATATGAGACTGGGCTTTCAGAACTCAGAAATCCCCACACACTCTACCTATCTGTATTCATTCATTAATTTCTAAAAAAAATATATTGACCCACATCCCTCAAATGCTTTGTAAGGACCTTGCTTGGATGCTGACCAAAATAAACAAACAGCTAAGAAATTTTCATGGGACACTTACGTGAACTAGAATGCTGAAACTTTAATGAAATTGAGGAATTATAGAATTTTAATATGATAAGAGAATCGTGTGATTATGTTTAGAAAAGAAGTTCTTCCTTTCTAGAGAGCAATACTAGTATTTACAGATTAAATGATATGCTGTCTGGGATTTGCTTCAAAAGAATCCCCGGGTAGTGGGGGGAGTAGGTGGGACTTTGTATTATTTTCTTGTGGTTCCTGTCACAGATTCCTACAAACTGCGTGGCTTGAAACAACAGAAATACTTTTTCTTACAATGCTGAAGGCCAGGAGTCTAAAGTCAGGGTGTGAGGGCCAGATTCCCCCAGAAGCTCTAGGGAACAATAATTCCCTGCCTCTTACACCTTCTGGGGGCTCCTGGCATTTCTGGACTTTCATGGATCGTGGCCATGTCACTCTACTTTCTGCCTGGGGCTTCCAGCATCTGAGCCTCTGTGTGTCTGTGTCTTCTGCTCTCTATGTTGCAGGGACACTTATGATTGGATTTAGAGCCTATCTGGATACACCAGGATGATCTCGTCTCAAGTTCCCCAACTTCATTACATCTGCAAAGAACCTTTTTCCAAATAAGATCTCACTTACAGGACCCAGGGATTTGGACATGGACCCATCTTTCTTGGGAGCCAATACAACTTAACCCATCACACGGTATTGATGAAGGAAGGTTGCTGGCAATTGATGAATCCAGGTCACGGGTACCTTCAGGCTTGTTATATGATTCGCTCTACTTTTGTATTTGCTAGAATTTTTCCATGTAAATTTAAAAGCTATCTTATTTTAGGAGCTCCTGCGATGTCCAAGTTTTATACAGGACATTGAGGACTGGACTCAAACAAGAAGACTCTGCTCTCAGGAGCTCAAGGTCCCAGGGGAAAGCTGATATTGAAAACATCATGTCAAATTAACGCAGGGAAAGACACAATAGAGAAATACAGTAGGAGGTGAAAGTAGAGAATTCTCTAGTAACATCCCCTCTCAAAACATGACCTAATCGTAGACATTCGTGAGATCAGGGTGGAGGTGAAATGAATTAGAAGATTGAGCAGCCCTGTACTGTGACCCATGCCCTTTCCTCGATGAATCAGGTCTAAATTTACAAATGGCCATGACCAGCCCCTCCATGTGCACTGCCAAACTTAGAAATCATATTCTCCAAATGATGCGCCAGACAGGGGCTATTCAAAGTCAAAAGTTTATAATGTGATGCAATGAACAAAAACCCATTGACTCTTTCTGCTTCCAGTTTGATGAGAAATTTCTAGAATCTGCAGAGGATTTGGACAAGTTCAGAAACGGTAAGATGAAGTCTCTAAGTGCCTCTGATGAGGGTATGTAGGAGAAGGTATACAAGGAAATTTGAACAGCCGGCAATGCGTATGTTTGTGTAGGGTGGTATTTGCGCATGGTGGAGAGGATTAGCTGTTTAAAATGGAAGGGCTGTGGCTCTTTGATCAGGTCTGGCAACTCTCTCCAGGCTGAAAGGACTAGACTTCTCAGTGTATTTGCTAGAGGAACTATCCCCAGTGCCCTGAGAATGCCCTTTCCTTGTTTTCATGCTTCGAGCACCATGAATGAGCTGCGGTGATCAGCTCAGGACCCCACACAGGCTTCTCCATCCAAAGACATGCAAGGACATGGATTAGATGAAAGGAAGAGAAATAGATGTGGCCATTGTTTTGAGTTTTGTTCTTTCATGGGGGGTGTGACAAGGTAATAGTATAGCAATACTGCAGGCTTTGAAGAGCACAGAAAGGAACCCTTACCTAAAAACCTCTCAGAACCTGCCTTAAATATCACAAATGTTATAAGACTTATTCTGGGAACCTCCCGTTTTAAATGGCATCCTATTGGCAGTCCTGTTGTAACCTATCCCAACATCTTCCTGAAATATCCATAAAGATAAAACTACACGAAAAAGACGAGGGTCTTACTATGTATCTGGAGGGGGAATAAAAACATAAATGAAACAACACAATAAGAAGTAAAAGGAAGCTTGTTAACAAAAAGCAGGACTACAGGAAGCTTTTTAAAAATGCACTTTCAAGGGAAATCTTATTGGGCAATCATTTCTTTTCTATTTCATAAATTTAATCATTTCCACAACCATTTTTTCATCCTGAAAGAGTGGGATTCATAGACATTTCACTCTCCTTGCTTTTCCTTCTTTCTAAAGATGGGAGTTTGATGTCCCAGCAAGTGCCAACGGTTGAGATTGACGGGATGAAGCTGGTGCAGACCTGAGAAAATCTCAACTACATCGCCAGCAAATACAACCTCTATGGGGAAGACACAAAGGAGAGAGCCCTGTGTGATGTATTTTCTGTTCTTCCATCAAGAGACAACATAGGAGTGATTTAGGTCCTTCCTTTAGTGGGTGGGTCATGGCAGGGACCCTCAGTGTGTATGCTAAGGTCCAGCATTGCAGAGTCCCAGGGAACAGTGAACATGGGGTGGGTCTAGGCGAGGATGATTCTAGAAGAGGATGTAGTCCACGGAGCCAGCACTCTGACAGAGGTTTCCAAACACTGATGAACCAGCTGGAAAAAGGCACGCGCAGCACCACCACTCTGTCAGTTACATACACACCCAAGAGAAGAAAAATGGAGAAACGGTGCTCTGCAGAGAGGTGCCTGAGGAGTCTGCAGTGTCAGTTCTGCCACCACGGGAGCTTTGGATGGTGGTGGCAGTTCTGAGTACTACCTGCCGGTGGTGGAGAGACAAATAGAAAAGAAAAAGAGTGGAAAAGAGGAGGCACCAGGAGACCCCACTCTCCGGTGGCCAGGGGTGGATAGTGGCTGCAGTCATGGCCTGGTGTATTAGTCAGGGTTCTCCAGAGGGAAAGAACTAATAGGATAGATGTATATATGAAGGAGAATTTATTAAAGAGAATTGACTCACACGATCAGAAGGTGAAGTCCCACAACAGGCTGTCTGTAAGCTGAAGAGCTAGGAAGCCAGTAGTGGCTCAGTCCAAGTCTCATAACCTCACCAGTAGACAAACCGACAGTGCAGCCTTCTGTCATTTGCTGGGGGCTAATAGTGTAAGTCCAAGAGTCCAAAGGCTAAAGACCCTGGAGTCTGATGTTCAAGGAAGCATCAAGCATGGGAGAAAGATGAAGGCTGGAAGACTGAGCAAGCCAGCTTAGTCCACCTTCTTCTGCCTTCCTTTTGATAGCTGTACTGCAGCTGATTGGGTGGTGCCCACCCATGTCGAGGGTGGGTCTTCTTCCCAGTCCACTGACTCAAATGTGAATCTCCTCTGGCAACACCCTCACAGATACACTCAGGAACAATACTTTACATCCTTCTACCCAATCAGGTTGACATTCAGTATTAACTGTCACACACGGTCAGGTTGTGCTGGACAGAAGTGGGGTCTGCAGCAGCAGCCATGGTGTGGCCAGGCAGCCCAGCGCAGACTGGCGGGGCAGCAGAGTGGCTCATGCAGGCTGAGGATGAGGGGCTGTGGAACCCCTACAGATGGCATCAGCAGGAGGAGTGGGCTGGTGCTGCCAACTCTTCCATCTCCCAGGTGGGCACAAAGAAACAATGGCTACTCTTCAGGGAATGGAGAGAATGAGGATTGTGCATTCTACACAGAGTTCATACGACGGACCTGCATGGTGGGCAGGAAAGCCTGATGGCACCTGGAGAATTATGGCTGATT